ATTAAGAGTGAATGTCAGTAAAAATCGAACATATGAGACATTTCGCGGCCACGACTGAAAAATCGATTTTGCTCAAATTTTGCCCAGATATACCTTATTATATCGGAAAATGCACCATATATTTTTTTAGGTCAAATGCTTTTTTTAACTTTGAGAAAATGCCGTTTTAACACGACCACCCTAAATCGCCATTTTTTCTGGGAAAATATGCTCTGATTTTACAGATAAATTTCACGACGACAACCGTTTCTAATCGATCTAAAACCCTAAAAATCTTGTTTTCGGTTATTCAAAGGACTGTGTACATGACTTACAGGAAATCTGAGTTACTTTTAGGAATAGAAATAATCGTAGTTTTGGAGCACATTATCTTACTTCATTTACGATACCCTCTTAACAAAATCGATTTTCACCATGCGATAAAGCTCCAAATCGATCATGCTTCTACTAGTTGGCTCTTTAATAAGCAAGCTTTCAATTGACGTAAATACTTCTTTTGGCAAATGAATACGCGATAAACGACAGCGCGTTGAAATCGTCCGTTTTTGACGTCTTGCAAGTCAAACGCTGTTAATTTAGATACCGTCGAAGTAAACAATTTAATCAAGTATTTTAAGTATTTTACCTTTTGAGAAGAAGATATATTCTTGAATGGAGACTTTTTACCTTGCTTAGTTTAAAATTGGTCCAAAAATCCCGAGATATTTGTAAAATATCATCATAATTCATATACAGGTATTTTGAAATATAATATTGTTGTCAGTTGCATGACAACTTCAGATCATTGTTCAATATTGTCTACTTTTAATAGCGCAAACATACAAATCGATGAGCTGTATAGTGCTTTTATATTTGTTACTAAATTTCCCAAAATTAGAACTTCAATTGACAATTGTTGTTTTGTTCCAGTTTGCATTGATCCATATAATGTACCATTTAGTATTTACATATCGACTATCGAGTATAAGGCCACATAAAAAAAATTACTTGTTTAGCGTCCACCCATTTTAATTTTCCTAGGTCGGGCGGGTGGATTTTTTTTTTTTTTTTTCGTAAAATGCAACACAAAATTCTGCTAAATGCAGGAAATCCAGTATATTACCACAGTCAAAACTCACTTTAATTCTTTCAAAATCCGTTCATGTTTTTTAATACCGTTCATGTTTTTAATAAAACAGAAATGATTATACCGTTTGGCGGTCACGCGCGAACACTTTAGCTGCGAGGAAGGAGTAAACGTATTACATAGCTCCCAGAAGAATAAAATCACCATTTTTTCAAGTAAAACGGTCTTTTTTATAGAGAGTTTTTGCACTAAACTCGGACGGATTTAAAAAAAAAAAAAAAAAATTGGAGGTCGGGGACTTTTATCAGGTCGGGCGGGGACGCTAAACAAGTAATTTTTTTTATGTGGCCTAAATGTTTACGAATACATAAGTTAATTATTAAGCAGCTGTTAATAGCGTGCGTGTGAAATGAACATTTATCCATACAAGGTTTGTTATTTTATTGTATATTCTACCACCTCAAACTCAAATTATAGGCATATAGCAAATACTGTAGTTTAGAATAATGTGTGTTTACTTTGATGCACAGTTAAAATAATCAGTAAAATTACTTTATTTTGATACACTAATGTCTACTGATCTTATTATATTTCACAAGTACTAGTACCCAAAAATAAAACATCGAGTATTTTGGCCCAGTGCGACATCACAAATTATTATTGTCTCCCCATACGTCGCGTTTAAAGAAAATGAAAGCTTGTTGCTCGTTTAACGCCGGATTAACCACGTGCCAAATACGGCAAATGCCGTGGGCCTCGCGCTTTACTGTGCTACGCCCATTTTTACGAGAACACGGCCATTTTCTATTGGGATACACCCATTTTGGGTGCCTCGCGAATTTAGGGACCTCGCGCATTTAGGGCCCCTAGGCTTGGCAGTTCGCCCTAGCACGGCCCCGGGAAAATATGCAATACTCGTGTTCATATAATCTCTAGTTGCGTTGAGCTGTTATATTATGATCCTGTTTATACCCACCAACTGCGCCAGGCAGGCCATTATCTCGTTTATAATTGATGCAAATAAATATGGAAAAAAAATATTTAACACTTTTATGTGTCTTTAAATTCAATGGTTTTCATAAAAAGAAGAAAGGGGGAGGTTTGGGGGCCTCGCGCTAAAATTTGCCATGGGCCTCGCGCGCGTTAATCCGGCCCTGGTCACTTGTCGGTAGTTCTTGCGGTTTTTAATGCCAATTGACAAAGATCAAAAGAGAGCACTGATGACTCCCCCCGTCGGAGAAATACTGGCGCAGCCCAAACCAGCTCAGTGAAATATGGGGCCCCAGGGCCAATTATACCCTTGGGGCCCCGGTGAACCACAATTACCCCCCTCCGTCGACAAACTTTTTATCGCCTTGCAAATTTGTATTTGCCTGTCTTCCTTGAGCTGGGGTCGCGGAGAAAATTGCTCCCTTTGCCGCCTCCCTGCATGGGCGGCCCTGGCGCCGCCCTTGTCTTATCATAACTATCTACCCTAATTCAAGCTGATTGGCGCGGCTCGATGAATTAATTGCCGCTTTCAAACAGAGGTTTATTATTTTAAACCTCTAGAACCAGGGTACCTTTTGTCACTCTGAGGCCTGCGGAATAACCTCTTCCGCAACATGCACGTACGCGTCTACTATCGTCAAGAAACAATCAATACGTATAATCGTTGTGGTCTGTGGGATTTTAATTCAATAGTGTAAACCTTGCAGTTTAGGGAAGCCTCACATATCGATTTTTTTCACAAGAAACATCATATGTTCGTTTTGGGGGTGGGGGAGGGGGGTTTACAGCTGTGACGTTTCTCTGTAAATATCATGGAAAAGTTCGATAGTTTTTTCGAATACCTGAACATTTCGGAATCAACTTTGCAGAGTATAAAAAAGAAAACAACTTGAAAGAAAACGACTATTCAAATATAAGGGCTGATAAACTAAAAATAAAAACTCCTTATATGGATAAACATTATAAACGTTCATTTTGCACATGTACACGCACGCTAACAGCTGCTTAATAATTAACTTACGTATTTGTAAACATCAGTCGATAAATAAAATGGTACATTAATATGGACAAAATGGATCAAAACCTCTGAAAACAGCAGTTGTAGTTCCAATTCTTTTGGGGAATTTAGTAGCAAATATAATCCTTAAATAGCTCATCGAGTTGTATATGTTAGCGCTAAAGTCAAACGGCCGGGTCGTGGATCACGTTGAATAATGATCTGAAGTTATCATGCAACCGTCAACAATGTCTCAAAATACTGGATGTTTGATGATTTTTTTACAAATATACTGGGATTTCTGGACCACTTTTAAACTTAGCAAAGCGAAAAGTCCCCATTCAAGAATATGTTTTTTCTCAAAAGGTAAAATACTTAGAATACTTGATTAAATTGTTTACTTCGACGGTGTATAAATTAACAGCGTTTGACTTGCAAGACGTCAAAAACGGAAGATTTCAACGCGCTGTCGTTTATCGCGTATTCATTTGCCAAAAGAAGTATTTACGTCAATTGAATGCTTGTTTATTAAAGAGCCAACTAGTAGAAGCATGATCGATTTGGAGCTTTATCGCATGGTGAAAATCGATTTTGTTAAGAGGGTATCGTAAATGAAGTAAGATAGTGTGCTCCAAAACTACGATTATTTCTATTCCTAAAAGTAACTCAGATTTCCTGTAAGTCATGTACACAGTCCTTTGAATAACCGAAAACAAGATTTTTAGGGTTTTAGATCGATTAGAAACGGTTGTCGTCGTGAAATTTATCTGTAAAATCAGCGCATATTTTCCCAGAAAAATGGCGATTTAGGGTGGTCGTGTTAAAACGGCATTTTCTCAAAGTTAAAAAAGCATTTGACCTAAAAAAATATATGGTGCATTTTCCGATATAATAAGGTATATCTGGGCAAAATTTGAGCAAAATCGATTTTTCAGTCGTGGCCGCTTTATGTTTGATTTTTGTGGACATCCTCTCTTAAACATTTATAGAAATTTCTTTAAAGTCACTATATTTGCTTTGTCACTATTTGTCATCGGTCGATCTTCTTTAGCTCGCTAATTTGACTATTTAGCATGGTTCATACCTGGAGCAATTATTTACTGCAAAGCCTCCGCCTTGCATATAAACTACATGTCTTTTTAATATTGATTATTACATTCGTAATACCTGTTGTAATACCCTGTTGTAATTTATACCTTGTTGTTATATATTTTTGCGTTGGGATTTTCGTAAAATATATCGCGGGTAAGGCATCAGCACTAGCTCTGTGAATCTCTTATATTGTTATGTTGCATTCATGCTGTTTTCATCCAGAAATCAATACCACCGTAATGGTATTTTACTACGGGGAGAAAAACCCCAGCACTAATGAGTGGAAGTTCAATCTGAACTTTTCTTCAATATCAATGCTGTTTTTGAATAGCTGGAGAGTGAGTATAGTCACATAGTAAGGTACGATACTAACCCTCCAGCTATTCAAAAACAGCACCGGCACTCAAGAGAGACTCAGATTGAACCTCCACTCAATGAGTATGAGTGAGTGAGCTTTTAGAATACGGGCGTAACTCTTCAACAACCTAATGACTGTTTTTAAAGCAAAGCAATTGAAAGGAAAACTTATTTTTTCATACGAAGAAGATGAGTGGCGATATTTATGTTGGACTGTTTTGAGCAGATGCTTCGAAGAACATGATATGATCGGACCTTGTATCTTAAAAGTGTACTTGGAACAGCCGAACAAAGTGGTAAATTTTGTTACCGGGTGTGTTGGGCATCATAATTCACAGGAATAGTTCACAGCGGCGTTTAAACAGGCTATGAAATATCCTGAATACTTCGTCGAGTTCTCTACCGCCATGTGACCTGTAGTTTAATGTGGCACGCGTCTTTGAAAGGGCTTTACTTGACTTTAATCGACGTGTAAGGTAAAACTTAGGTAAGCCAACATTTCTTTGTAATGCAAGCTACATTTTCATATCTTTAATGTGTGAATTTTTTTAATTTTGTAAAAAATTAAGCGCAATATGTTGTTGGAAAAAGTATCGAGTGCTTCATAATAACGCTCAGATCTTGCGTACAGATATTCGTATTTTATTCAAAATCTACCCTTTATCACCAGTTTTTCTATTCTTTTATGTTAAAGTATACATAATCCTTGACTTGATCACACGATGATCCACTCGATGAAAATTGGGCAAAGGGGCGATCTTTGCAGAGAAACTTGACCGTTCGGTGAAATCGGTAGTTCAGAGACCCTATTTTCATTGTAGTATTTCGTGACAATTTGTTGGCCGATTTCTAGTTTATATTGTAGAACGGGTTCCTAGTGAATTAAATTAATTGTCTATCTTCTAACGAGTACTAATAAGCGCGATTCCTTTTTGTTGATGGATGTTGAAATCATTTAGACTTTTCTTCATATACAACAAGTACACTACCGAGTACTGAATCACTGTTTGCAAAGAAACTAGCCTATATCACCTCCATAATTCCAGCTTATTTTTAAAGTCAAATAGTTGCTCCATGGATAAAAGTAGTTTTTATGGAGTTAAAAATAGGGCAAGTACGAATTTAAAGAAGGTCAATTTGCACTTGTATATATCTCACTTCGAAAAAGATATACATTATGGCCACATAAAATAAATTCCTTGATTCTCATCACTACACTTTGAAAGTGTCGAAGAGCGGGAGGTTTATATTTTATATTTATCTAATTTATCATCAATAAATAAAAAAATAATTCCTAACATTTAATATTTCTGTGATTTCCAAAGTGAAGTACCACAAACCGAAATAAACATATTTCTCCACGAACAATGACTGAACCCTTCAACTGAATGCGAAGTTCCGTTAAAATGCAATGAAATTTCTTTCAAGGTTCTATTTGTTTGAAATCGGCAGTTTAAAATGGCACTAAAAACCCAATTTTAAATATAAAAAACTTAACTGTCTTGAAATATTTTGTCGGGCGGTTCATTTATATTGTATAACAAAATATAAAAAAATTTCACGCGGCTCTTAAAATACAGTCGGGCGGTGATGAGAAGCAAGGAATTTATTTTATGGCCTATAAAACAGGTATATTTGTACGGCGAAATTAAACTGGTGCAACAAAGTTTTTATTTCTACTTTCACGTTCTTATTCCAAAGCAAACACTTCTAAGTCGGAAATGCCTAAAATTGTGAGCGTAGAAACACTAAAGAAACAAGAAAACGACTTCATAACACGAGTAGTTTTGGCAAATTTGGTGTTTGTTTTTATAGAATTCAGTCACGCGATCAACCCGCGCTCACGTGCACTCCACGCTTACGTTTCTCGCGCATGCGTAGACGGAAGTCCCCTCTGTTTTAGCGAAATCTAAAGTTCATCAATGATCGCGGGCGCGTGACTATGGTTCATGGGTGGACCTCCTCACTGATCTCAAAAATATTGTTGTTTGCTAGGAGTGGGATAAGCAAGATT